GGAGAGCTGATAGCTGATCACTCTGCATAGCTCTTCACTGAGTCACAACATGGCAGCTGGCAGCCTAAGCAATGGATCATAATCTGATGGCAGCACACAGCTCCCTCAGTTATCCTACAGCCAAAATCTTCCAGATCAGCCCCTATGCTAATGCACCTCATAGGGATTTACTTCATTAAATAAAGAGTGGGACCTTTTGTCAGTGAATCATCCATTCCCTGGTAAAGCACAGAGGGCTACTTGTCCGTATCACACAATTAACAATACACAAAAAGAGACTTAGGTACTTTTCAGGACAAAGACAGAATAATCACAGTAATAGATATAGATGGATATATAATATATAATTTAAAATTTTATTTTAAAACTTTGCGCATACACTTCTTCATCCTCCTCCTCTTTTGTTCATTGCACTGGAAAGTTTCAAAAAACACAAAATATATCCCTTTACTAAACATTTTTTTGTTCTTAGGTTACAAAAAGATTAACATTTCACAGTCACAAAGCAGAAGTACATTGGTCCAAAACATCTTCCTCCAGCAGCTCCTCCGTTCTTCAGGACATGTAAAACCTACACAGCTGTACAGATCTCAAAGCAAGACAACTTGTCCAATCAAAGAAAGAAAAAAGTGGCAGCTATTAAAAAAAACCAAAATAAGACACTATGAAAGAACACCAGCAGCAATGGTTAAAAAATAAAAAGAGAAAGAAAAAGAAAAAAGAATGAGAGTGGAGGTGGACAAGAGCATCCTCCTTCAAGTACATCACAGGTAGAAATACAGCAGCACAGTTACAGAATCATTTGGTCACTCTCTCTATGGCAGCCACATCACTGTATCTTCACCTAAGACACACAAAGGAAAACTATTCACATGCCAAAAATGTCAGAGAGGGATAACAATTCCACATGGTTTGCAATTCATGTTTGATACAAAAATATTGAAAGTATTTGTACATAAAATGTAAAATAAAAGCAAAACACCAGGAAGACACAGAAGATTTGCTCAGAGTATATAGTGTTTGTTACAAACCTAGCAAAAGTTCAAAGCCAAAATCCGCCCAAACAACAAGTGCAGTTCTTCAAAAATACCCCGGATGCAGAGTCGATGGTACCTCACAGACCTCTTGTCGTATTCTAACATGGAAGTAACTTTAACATGGAACTCCACTGTGAAAAGCAGAATCTGACCACTCTTCCTTCAGCTTGTTAGCCTTGTTGGTTTTTCTCTCTCTCCAGCACAAGGTCACTGAGCCTCAGCCCTCTTGGACAACTGGCTTTTGTTGCTGAAGGAAGCAGCATTGTCTTGCCATACCAAAAGGTGGTTGTGTGCCTCACTTAAGGTGTAAACAAAATGTCTACCTGCCTTCTTCATCAAATTAAACCAAGAACATTTCAGGCTGTACTGCATGTCCAAAATGGCTGTATTACCTTCTGCAACAGGAGAATGGTAGAAGCTTCTTGGGTTTGAGTTTCTAGGAACTGGAGTGGCCTAGGCACCAGAAGGCAGAGTTACACTGCACTGTTGGCTCACCTGAACTAAATGGCATACACCTCCTTTCCTTGCCATTGTCCAAGATCTTGCCTGACTTTCTAAGCAGTGCTTATGCACAGGCAAGGACACAGCACTGTGCAATAGCAGTATGAATACCAGTGTAACTCAAGACTGAGGTTCCCTGCTGCTAAGGCTTCAATAGCTTCAGACACTAACCTGGCAAAACCCCACACTGCTGCCAGCATCAGGCAGTAACTAAGACGATGTGCTCAGGATCTAAAATTTGGACTTGGTGCCTAACTTGCTCCTGTTTGAGGCAGCAAGCTGCCTGCTCTGAACTCAGGAGCTTCACTGAGCCCTTAGAGCAGCTGCAGGTCTGAACACAGCACTGTGCAGCATGGATCCTCCCTGCCACCAGTGGCTTCTAAATGCTGTGACTCCCCACATAATTCAACCTGTAAAGGGAACTGGAAATGCTTTTAATTATTCTTGCTTCTCATGATACTTCCTCATCTATTAATGACTCCTGCCTCCTATTTACAAGAGGCTTTGGTATGTATATGTATTTATACCACACCTTGAAGCAGAGCACAGACACAGTGCAGGCATGTAAGAAGCTCCTACTGAAAGCAGATAGAAGTGATAGCCCAAGTGCTATCACAGCGTACCGGAGATGCCCCGATGAGGAAAGCATGTAAACGCGTAACAGATACCTTATAAAAAAAGCAAAACAAAAAGCATCACAGCATAGTTTCAGTCACATACATCTTGAGTAGGAAACTTTATTATCCTTTCAAGTTCTCAGAATTTATTAATTGATGCTAATTGATATCAATTGCTGATACTATACTTCTGCCTTTTCCAGGAGAGGGGCTGACAGGTAACACAACTCAACCTGGGTCCAGCTGCAGAGGAACAGGCTGGCTGATGGCAATACCTCAGATGAACAGCAAACTTAGTGGAGGCTGATTCACAAAACCATAGCAGTGCCCACAAGGTTTTGCTCTGAGAAGTCACCAGCCAAGTCACACACTCTGCGAACCCATCTGCCCAGGGGTACGCTTAAAAACACCCCTGAATGAGAAGGTGCATTTTCCATTGCCTCGAAGTTTCACTTTTAAATTCTGGCAAACCCTACACTGGAAATTTATTTCCACCACATTGTACTCAGTGGTTTTATAATGACTGGCATGTGTGTTGACACCATGTTACCAAATAATGAAGACTAACAATGTGTGAGCACTGAAATATTTGACTCAGGCTTGTAGCTGGTACCAGCAAGCACCAGCTTCCTCGCTGGTCAGACGACTCCGCTGGAATCGCCAGCATTAGTTTCTTTGTGAAAGAGCATCTGAATTGCTAGAGGACTATACAACTGCATTTGTTAAGAGACAACAGGAGTTACACAGAGCATGAAAAGCATGTTTGCAAGTTTATTAGGCCAGAAAAAGTGCAAGAGAAGATCTCTTGCTTAAACTTTAAAACATAACAGGCCATGTGAAAAATACTCTAGACTCCAAACCTCTTTTCACCCAGCTGCACGCAGAAAAAGAAGGGGAAAAAAACTAAGGAAGGAGTAGAGAAAGCATGACAACACATAATCAGATATGCCACTGAATTATGCTGAAGCTGTAGAATATAAAACATTCGTGTTCTGCACAGCTTTATTACATGCAGGCACTGGGGAATGAATGGAACAGTTTTCAGGCTAAAATCATGCAGATTGCTGCACATTTGAGCCATTACACCCTCTGCGCGTTGCCCGCTTTCAGCCTGAAACTCCTACTGGTGTAGAGATTTAGAGCAAGGGTAGTTTAAATCCACTGAGACTGTTGCACATGTACTTCCGGATGCAATCAAGCAAAGCATCTGGGCAGCTACACCACACATGCGCTGTGGGCTGTCTACGCAGCACATTTTAGGTTACAAAACTGGTGAGCTCCAGGTCATGCCTGTTAAGGAGAAAGTCTGCAAAGGGCACAGCATCCTCCTCCTCCTCGTTTGGAAAGGACACAACATTTGTGAGCTGCCTAGTCAGTGCCCGGCAATTATGCCAGTCCCCTGCCTCTTGGCTACCCAAGAAGTACAAACTAAATAAGCAGTTCCAAAAGCTGGGGGCAGACGGTTGACCTTGGCTCCCCAGCTAATATAGTTGCCTACGATAGAACCTTTTGATTTTGTTTTCCCTTCACTCCTGCCAATGAAGTACTGGCTTGAGGAACCGGCAGCCAGGTTAAGCTGCAGATTTCCTCTTGTTTCCTTCTTGGACTATTGCTTTCACTCTGATAATGTTTTACTCAGATTTTATTTAAATTGATTCATCACTGCTAAGAAAAAAGCTGCTGAAGCTAACCAAGGGCTTGTATCTATCACAGGGATCTTTTGATCCTTGGCTACAGTCCTCAGTACCAAGAGGACAGAAAGTTACAAGCTTTCTGATCACTAAGTCAAGCAGGCAAATGTATACTGAATAATAAGTGATGCAGGAAGACATGAAATGACTTTTAAATAGATCACTATCCGGGAATCCAAATTGGTAACGAGAACAATACCACCACTGCAAGTAAGAATCCAACTTAAAAACACACTCAGAAGCCCAAATAAATTTATGAATCCCAACCAATGCAAAAGCTGTATGGTCAGGGATTCTTCTAACAGGATAAAGCAGGCAGAACCATTCAATGAATGCAAATCTCTGATCCCAAAGAAACCAGGGCCTCCAGGTAAACATCACATAAAGCTGAGTTTGCGTGCTCTGTATAATCATGGCATACACACGACAGGGAATCTTGACAAATAACTCTTCGCACCAGAATAGATCTTGCCATACAGGACTGTGACCTGTTTCTCCTGGACAATTTTGCAGGTGGCTGTTTTAGCTGCAGTAAACACTGAAAACAGTTTCAATTTTCCTACTAACATACAGGAGTATAGTCTACCGAAGAAGAGATGGGAGAGGAAAATAGAGGTTCGAAGGATTACACAAGTTTGAAGTTGTCCATAGGTAAGTCATGAATGCAACTTTTTGAAAGAAGAAAACTCTTGAGTCTCATATATGTATATATAGGTATTTTAAATGAGATGTGACCTAAGTCACCTTCTGAATATTTGGGGGTAGATTTCAGGAGCCTCCTTGGCTTCTGATGCCCACTTCTACTTTCACAACTGAAATGGCTCTTCCAAGCTACATGGTAAACTGAGAAAAAAAAATAAATACCCCATCTGGAGGGATAACAGAATCCATAATATGCTAGCAGCATTTAAATCCCATTCCTGTTAAGCACCAAAACCATTTCTACAGGGAAACTGTAATCTTAAGTGTTATCTTTATCATATACAGTATATGTGCAGAGCCCTACCTTTCGGGCAGAAAAATACCCCTCCAGCATTGGTTTTGAGTAGATTACATCAACTGGAAGTGTCCTGGTCAGATCACCAAAACCATATTGTCTCTCACCGGCCCTTCCCAGAAAGATCCGCATCCTACAACCTCTCTTGATGCTACTTTCATGACTGCTTGTTCCCGTGTATTAAGGGGATGACGTAGACAGAGATGTCATCTCCAGAGCCCAGCCTGTCGTTGGATATTCGCCAGCCCCGGTCCTTCAGCACTCCCCTGGCTCGCATCACCAAGTCCTGTGCCGCCAGCGTGTACCTGTGGAGAAGGCAGAATACAGCCAGGAAGCGCTCCTCTTCATGAGGAAAGCGGGTTTTTACAGCCTGCCACATGTACTGTTGTGACCTACCAGGACAAGTTTCCCAGTGCTTTAGAAATAGGCAGGAGAAATGCAAACCACAGCATGCCCACAAGGCAACCCTTTCCAGTTCAGCAACAGCTCCTGCATCAGAATCTGAAGGTATTTGGCAGGCATCAATCAATCAAAAATCACTGGTCATTTGGGTGCCTGGCTTCAGCAGTTTTCAGAAAAATATTAAACACATCTGCATTAATAAATTGGCCTTCTAGGAGTAGTCTGAAAAACTGAGGACCCCACGTAACACTATTTGCTGTTAATAACGACACCCTTGTTAACTGACACACCTGAAGGTAAACACGGCTCAACTATTTTAGAGACAAGCTATAACGAAGTCATTTGAAAGCAAGTAATAGAGCACTAAAAATAAAACCCAAATGATACTTTAAACCAAGTAGACTAACTTGTCTGTTTTCCTTGACCGTAGGAATGATTTTTAAATCTCCCTTATTCTGAAACTGGAAAAGTAAACTTACAGTTAATAAAGCCAGATTAATAGAGTCCCACAGTTCTTTCACATTTATGAGTTCAATGAAAATTGTGTGAATGTGAATTGTCAGGTGCTTAATTTAGTGAAATACCAAGTTTCACGTTGCTTCAGAACTCCCAGCCTGCGCTGGGCTGAGCACTGTTGGATTTATGAGAGTTATTTTCTGTCCTGAAAAAATAACAGATGCCGCTTGGCAGTAGAAGTGTGTCAGAGTCCAAAAGGTGGTGCACAGGCGGTGCTCCGTCATGTGCTCTGACACGTTCTCCCTTATCATTTTACCTGCTGTCACTGGATCAACACATCTGGGTACTCACTTAGAAGCTTTCTCTGAAAAAGAGCTGATTATGGGTGAACAGCTACTGTCACATGGTTTTCTTCATCAGTCCAACACCTGGCTGAGATGTTTTGAATTTGGTTGGGTGGAGACAAGGTTTTCTATGATTTGATAATTAAAAATCAACTGAAAAGTTAGAATACTGACAAGAAAAAAACCCAAACAGTTCAATAATGTGTCTGCCTGTGCTTTATTTAGAGCATTATATATGTAACAACCTTTGAGATGATGTAGACTTTCAGGAGCAAAAGACGCCTCTGAAGTTTACAGAAATCAGGAATCATAGAATAGTTAGGGTTGGAAAGGACCTTAAGATCATCTAGTTCCAACACCCCTGCCATAAGCAGGGACACCTCACACTAGACCATGTCACCCAAGGCTCTGTCTAACCTGGCCTTGAACACTACCAGGGATGGAGCATTCACAGATTCCTTGGGCAACCCATTCCAGTGCCTCACCACCCTCACAATAAAGAACTTCTTCCTTATATCTAATCTAAACTTCCCCTGTTTAAGTTTAAACCCATTACCCCTTGTCCCACCACTACAGTCCCTAACAAAAAGTCCCTCCCCAGCATCCTTATAGGAAGGACAAGAAAAGGTTCACATTTCAAGACCTCGTTTTCCAGAGAGGATCCTTGACTAAAAATGATCTGCCCAGATCCCATCTGAGGAATAGGAAAGAACAATTTCTCCATTTATGTTCCGTTTCTATCATTTAGTACCTTAAAATGACTCCTTTGACCCTTTGAGATTTATCTGCGCCGCTAGAAAGATTTCTTCAATGCAAAAGCACCAACATTTGACTACCCAAAAGGTCCGATGTTAAATCCAAGAAATGTTGTACAGAAGCAATGCACCCTTGCTCCCAATGGTACTGAGAAATTAAATTTCCAGCCCTCACTAGTTTTGACAGAAGATTTACATTTAACAGTAAGAGAGGGGCCCAAGGCATGAACTGTAACACACAAGCCTCCACACCCACATGCAACAGTGTCTGCATGCTCCAAGAGAAGTCTGTACCAAGGACCTTGAGCTATAATGGCAGGATGTGACAGGCAGCTCTGCATCCACTGTCCTGATGCAACATGAAGTTATATTTTCTAAGGGGAATAAAACCCAAACATACATACTTGCACTCCCCAGTTCCCAAATCAGATGCAGGGCTAAGGAACAAAAGGACTCCACGTGGCAAGCAAGAAACTGGAGTATTTATTCACAGCATGTCTGATGCTGAGTGAATTTTGGCTAGAACATCTTTTCCAAGGATTTCTCAGCTATTGTCAGAATCTAAGAGAAGAAAACACCCATCATTCCACAAGAAAACTTTGCCTTCCTCCTTTTTCTAATTAACAAGGGCTCCCCACATCTAAAGAGTACAAAGGAATGAATATTGCTTTTGATTGTGTAAAGCTTTTGCTGCTTAATGTTTGGAAAGGACAAGATAAAAACAAGGGAATTTTAACAGAACAGAAATTCTCCCATAGACAGTCTGTGAAATACAGAAGAAAAAGGAACAGGTGAAGACAGGAGCGAGGTAACTTATCTCCTTGTGTAGAGCTGAACTGAAGCGATGCTGTTCACCTTGGCACTAGAGGAGATAGGGTCTCTTGTACCTGGAGATGAATAGCAGCAGCAGTCCATTACTGAATGTTTTATTCTCCAGTGCTGTGAACTTGGGATTCAGCTGTTGACACAGCATTAGAGAACTGCTGAAGTAGTTTTAAAGTATTCACCTCCTCCTAACGAACAGCCCCACTGGGATATAACTTTTCTGTTTTAAGAAATATATATGCTTTTTTTTTTTCTTCTGCTGAAGTTTCCAGTATTGATCAGTGAAAGTACTGCAGGAGAAATGGTGACAGTGGGGGAAACGTGCTGCTAAGTAGCTTCTTATCTTCTCACACCCAGCAGAGGTGGAGCAACTCCCCAGCATCCTCATAAATCTCTCTAGCTTGTGTGAGAGAGTGTGAGAGGGAATGAGAAAGGACAGGAGGGAGGATAAGAAATAGGTTCCCAAGATCAGCGTGTAAACCTGTGTAAACTGCAGCTGAAGGAAGTGGGCAAAAGTCATGTTTCTCTATCTTCCTACCTCTTCAGAAGGATGATGTATGGAAAGCAGCAGTGTGTTGCTACACCTCTTCTTCACGCAGGGTCCCCTTCATCCTCTTGTCTGCCACAATACTCATAGAAATGAGCTGGCTGAGAAATCCAGCTCCAACCCTGCTACTTCCATCCATCACAGCTGTTGCAGAGGAACTGTTGTCTAATCAAGTCTGTGCCCATCACCCGCTGCCCAAATCCCCTGAGGCTCTGTCTGCGTGGCTGGGTGAAGATACTCCAGGACTTTTCTCTCCCTGTACTTTGAGATGTCCAAGCAAATGTTATGTTTGACAGGATTCAAAGGTATTTTTCTGTGCGTAAAAAACACTCACAGTTCTGACAGTAAATACCAGCAGGAGAGAATCCCAAGAGCATTGCCAAGGCTGTAAGCTCTTATCCATCGGGTTATGAAATAACTTCTAATTCAAATGGGAGGGATATTGTTCCCACAAAGAGCTAATTACGTAACAGATAAGTACTCTGCACCTCTAAAATCTTCCTCTCCAGCTTTGGCTTCTTTTTAAATATGCTGCTGGCAGGGAGTAAGTAGGCTACTGGGTCAGGCAGATCCAGAGTCTGCTTCACAGGTAGGTTCTCCTGAACACCACAGCATTACCAAACCCAGGGGGCAAGTCTCTTAGATTCTGACAAGCTCTCTACATCCCTAGAGATTTTACATTTTCAGCCGATCACCTCACCACAGACTATGTCACTACACCCGTCACAGAACCTGACATTTTCTGGGATAACATTTCCTTTAAACATCACACTGATAATACAGCAAACAAGACTTTCCTGTCACTGACTAGTGAGAGGAATGAATGCAGCTCCACAGTCTGAGCTGCTATGTTATTGTACATTCATTAGTTATACCTCATTTGGACCACTGTGAAGTAATTACATAAAACCTCTCACACAGTACTTTAAACCCTTTAAATATTCTTTACAACCAAGCAGCAAGAGCAATTCCACAAAGGTAATTTTCATAAATATCATTGTAAACTATATGAGGGACTGCTCTAATTACCTTTTGCAAGCTGGCATGAGAAATGTCTTGGCACCACTATTTGTAAGCCTCCAAATGACCTGGCATGAAGTTACTTAAAAGAACAAATTAAGTTTTAATTCAGATGTCCATTCACAGACCAGTAGGTCAAACACCAATAAATGTGTTTGTTCTAACTCATAATACAGTAGGCCCACCCAAGTCTGGAGTGTGTTGTACTCACATTGGCACAAATGGGGACTGATCTCCCACAATTACAAGGGCTAAATCAGAACAAACAAATCTAAATGAAACAATGAAAAATCTCTTTTTCCTTTAGTGTCTCTGATTTACATGAGCGTTTTATAATGGATGGAAAATTACTCACCTAACAAGTCAAAAAGATCAAACAAAGAATTCCCATTCCTACCGTAGCAAGAGTGGTGGCTATCACCAGCTTTGGAAAGACCAAAAGGAACAAGACAGACACAATACACCCAGACTATTTTCACAACAGACAGGACCAGCGAGCATGGTAGGAAAAGCCAGCCTTCCCCAGTTACTAGATGAGAATGGAGGCAGAGCAGGGTAGAGGTATTACATTTTCTCAGGTACCTTTGCAAGAGGAGACTCAGGAGTGCATATATGAGAGCTCCCTACCACCTCTGAACAGTGCTAGGGCATAACTAGAAGTACACTGGGTAGGTCATCTACTCCTACCTTGAATTAATGGTGTATCTGCATAGAACAGTGCCAGATGCCTTGGAAGTGTGCCCCACTAATCCTGCCTGGTCTCCTCCCATAGAGAGGACAGAGACACTTCCATGTCTTCCTGAAGTAGACACAGCCCTGGCTGTCATTCATACAACATCTTCTCTTTGCCCATGGCAGGGGAGTTGGAACTAGATGATCTTAAGGTCCTTTCCAACCCCAACTATTCTATGATTCTATGGCACAGGGAGGTGGGGAAGCTGCAGTTGCAGCTTCATACTAATCATCCATTCTCTTGACAATTGAGAGATTGCAACAAAACCTCTTTTGCATTTCATGTTTGTAAGTGTCAGGGCAAGAAAATACTGCTTGTGAGTTACTTCGGAGCTGCTCTCACTTTAAAACCCAAGTGGCTGTCAGGATGACAATACCCAGTTATCTTCCTTGTTTGCTGATGGAGAACAGAGCTGACTCTGTGAAGATGACCACCTAGAAATATGAGAAACACCAAGCATTTTGAGATGGGTTTCCCCATGTCCTCACGAGTTGCCACATCTAAACAACTGTAGCTTTTTCTCTCACACTGTTACGTGTTTTCACTGGGCTGCTGAGATATTGCAGAGCTTATTTCTGAAGCTGTTTCATGCAGGCCAACTGGGGATGCATCCCCACTCTTAACCCAGAGAGAGGGCAGAACACAGCGATGGCCAGGCCTGAATTCAGGAGCAATGCACACTTCCCTTCCTGAAGTCCCTAGGGAAGGATAAAGCTCTTTCCACTTTCACAGTCCTCCCTTTTACAAGTGAGAGACTTCTGATCTCTAGCGTAATGTTTTAATTCATGGGAACACCGAACTCAGCAGCAGACAGACTGATGGACTCACTCAAGGCAGACAGTGTTGTAGCCAGTTGTTTGGGAACTTGTTTGTTTCCTTGATGGTATATTTTAAAAGCAGAAACTAATCAAGTAAGTGGTGATAAAGACAGGAAAATAAAGAGGACAAGGTAGGTTAAAATTTTGAAATGAAACAGAATCCAACCAAATGGAGTCAGACTTTCCACTTACTTTGTCACCACACCTGTTCCCAGCTGGCTGCACTGAGCATCTACTACCGAAGGTGGGTTTAAAGGTCATAACATGTCCAGGAATGAGTGGTATATGTAGTATTTATACAAACCACACCATGTAGTATTTATACATACATACATATACAGGGTGTGAGAGAGAGAAATGCTGATGATCTAGTGAGAAACAATCTTTAGTGTTAAGGGACTATCCACAGAAGAGTTAAGTAGAAACCTGTAACTGCTGGAGACAGAGATCTGCTGCCATGTTCTTGTAAGACCACAGCCCTGAGAGTTTCCACAGAACCTTGTACAGCAAAGAAAATGCATCCCATGCCAAGATATCGTGATTCCACAAGCACTCCTTTGAAAGTCGTCAATTCTGAGTTATAACAGACCACTCATCATCCCGCCCCAAACCTCCACATTTGCTGCAGGGGCTCCATCCAACAAATGTCTTTTTGTAAGCGTGGCATATTTACTGAATGTTACTCATATCATACTTTCTACAAAAATACGTTACCAGAAACATATTTCTGCAGCATAGCTAGAAAACCAGGGATGAGCACGAACCTGTGGGGATCATCAGGGTCACAGTTTGGTAGAAAGTTAGTGACAGCTTCTGCCACTTCTTCATTTAACAGCACATCCCAGAGTCCATCAGTAGCTAGGATCAGAACATCATCTGGCCCATGCTCATACTGCACGAGGTCATAAACTCTCACCTAAAACGAAAAAACACAAGAGACAATCATAAAGGAGGAGTCTGTCAGACCTGTTTGACTCTCCCACAGCACTGCTGGGGTCTGTCCCCAGTTTAGTTCTTGAGACAGCAACCCCTCCTGCCCTGGCTCCAGTGCTGACCCAGCTGGGGTGGATGCAAGTGTTCCTAAGCCAGGCTGTAAAGAACTGTGCTGCCTGTTGCCAGCAGCACTTGAAGCCTCCTCCACTCAGCAGGCTGGTTTCAGCATGTGAGGCTCTTCCCCACCATTGGCAGGGCTAGTCATATGGAAGCTGAATAATTTATTTGATGAATTTTTGATATTTTCTAATAAAATATTCACAAATAATTGTTTTCACTATTTGTCCAGACCCATTTAACTCTGCCAGATAAATTGCATGTTTGGAAATGCCTGTGTGGCAGACGGCATCGCATTTACTTTTCTAGACCTGAGGCAGCTGCTGCGTCCAAGGATTATGCCTGAGCAAGTGAGCAGTTCCATGAAATGGAGAGAAATTGCTCATTTACATGTATCTCTGTAAGAAGTCTGAATTGGGAGGCTGATTCAAGATCTGCACAAAAGTGACCCCCCCAAGCTTATTCACACTGTTAAAGTGCCCACTGGCTTCACCTTATTGGTCTGCAGCCACAGTCAGGTGCTGCTGGCGTTTCTGTAACACTCTCACTTTGAAACAACTTCCACTGTCCACTTCTGATGAGGCTGGGGAAAGCCAAGAGTGGAGGGATCAGACACAGGGGCGCTGCACAGCCGTCAGCTGAGACAGAATATGAGCAAAGGCCATGGCAAGTGTTTTAAACGAGCAATGAACCTTCAGTTCAGCGTAACTCTCCTTCCAGCACACACTGTACTCCAGCTGACAAACCGCCTGCAATTCCCAGGTTGCGATGGGGAGCTGTTACAAAGCACTCACGGAGCACTTCAATTACCACAGCAACAACCACAGTTTGAAAGAAGAAGTGTGACAACCTTGGCAAGGCAGACAGGAGGAAACGATCATCTGTACTGAAGTTTAGAAATGGTGCACCTCGTCACGCACCCTGCTCCAGCCTCGGGCTCCACTAACAGCAGCGGCAGTGGGGAAATTTGTCAGGACAAGCACTTGGCATAACTAGAAAATACGAGCTGTTTTATTCTCCGTCATGGTGCATTCTCCCCTTAGGAGCCATGGAGCAGGCAATGCACATAAAATGCCTGGACCTTTTAATGTAATTATGATTTTATGGGGCTGCAACCAGTACCAGAGGAAAAGAAAAAATCACCTAGACCTGACTGCTAATCCTTACTTGTTCGCCTTTTACTCAAAAGCACAAGAAGGTCATTTGTAAAATGTAACCTTCACTTCATTATCTAAGGTAGCAGATGAATAAGGACTTTGGAGAGGATTAAAGTCAAGGCAAGATACTCTCTTCATTAGAGCGCATCTCCTTATTCAGACTGAGTGGGAATACTGTTACAGGAAAGACGCCTATATATAACACATCCCTCATCTCAAGCCCACTGCACAGAAACCAGTAGCTGTCAGAGTCCCCATCTCAAGAATTTAGTTCAGCCTCTAATAGCACAGGGTTTCAACTCAGAAATCACTGTGGAGGGTAAGTTGGCCAACACAGCCATCAATAAGCAGCACATGTTCTGGTCAGATCTCTTGGGTACAGGCAAATATTTGAGAGAGCGTCAGGGTTAATGCTCAGGGATGTACTCAGCAGCAAGCCCCTAGCAGGGATAAGCAAGCTTGGAATGCCAGCGCTAGGAAAAACACATCTGCCACAGCTCTCCCACCCAGGCAAAGTACACTTTACAAGAAAGCCTTTTTTGCAGCATTGGTGGGGGAGAAGGCAGGAAACCAAGACTGTGCATCACTGATTTGAATCCTCCTGAAATGAACAATCTTGTCTGACTGGGGAATGCTACTTGGGCAGGTAAGAAACTTGTCAAAGCTACCTGCAGCCAACCCACACATCAAAATGCTACAGCAAGATCAAGAACAGATCACCTCACCAAGAGTATGTTTAGTTTCTGGGGAAAAGGAAAAAGCAACCACTGATTTTATGGGTAATCCGGGAACAAGGTAGTTACATCATAAGAGCAAAAGCTTTGTGAGCACCTCCAGAAAGGGGTGCCATTGTGAAGGAACAAGATGTCAGAAGAGGTGCAGAGAAGGGCAGTGGGGTGAGCAATAAGTGATGCTAGGCTGGTTCCCAGGCTAATGTAAAGAGAGTGCCAAGGTTACAGAAGGCAAGCTTGGGGCAACTTCAGGTAAGATCCTTGCATACAAGGAACAGTTGGATATGCAACAGAACGTTCACTGAAATGCAGCTTTTTCTGCCTTCCAGTTACCACAGCAGCAACACAATAGGGCAGCCATGTCCACACAGTACTTAAATTTTTCTTTAGCTTTTTCTTTCTGTCTTTCCTCGGATTTCTAGAATACAATTGTAGGTGCCCTCAGTATGCTGCTGACAAAAATGAGTTAATTTAGAGCTGTCCAGTCTATTGCAGGTTCAGGTTATGCTCACAGAATACCTTGCCTTGGTGCAAAACCAAGCCAGCTCCTAACCCTTCACTCTTCTGCTAGCAGCTTTGTTCTAGCTCTTACTTAGGTCAATGAGGGTCTCTTGCAGTCAGCAACATGTGCTTTCAGCTGGACACAGAGCAGTGTGACAGCAGAGCTCCCGGAGGCACACAGGCTGGGCAGCACCACCAAGGCACATGTAACAGATGCTCAGACCAGCAGGGCTCACTGAACATCCACTCCACACACCCCCACCTTGTGCAACACCCCACAGCATTCTCCACAGATGCTGTACAGGAAAGGCCTCCTTCTGTGCCTGTATTTCAGACACAAAACAAGAGGGAGGTTTAAGTGATGTTCTGTCTGTAACATAAGTTTGCACAAAGCTGTACACACTGCAAAACAGTATTACATAGCCTTGCTAGTGCAGATGATGGTCAACCAGACACTGGCTGGCAGTGCAGAGGTTTCCTTAACTGGTGCTGCACGCTTGACAGATTTCCTAGCAATTCCACCTTGAATCTACAGTCTTTCCCTTGTGACTTGTTCCTTCTGCAGCCAGACAGTGTTCCATCAGTCCTGACAGCACCCCATAGAACTCGTGACCTCTGCCCAAAATGCCTTGGGCTACCTGTGCTCTGTCCTCTGCCTTGCATGCTGTCCCCAAAGCCTGGTCTGCAACTCCCCCCAGCCTACCAGCCCCTTCTGTACTGCCCTGGCAGACTTCCTCACTCTTCAGCATCTCTCTGGAGCATTGGGGCAGGCCTGGAGCTCCGTTTGTTCACCATGCTCTTACCATCCACTGATGTCTTACTGGATGTAAAGCAGCTGACCTGTTAACTAAGCTAAACTTGACTTCAGTAACCAGAAAATGTAAAGAAACTGTGAGGAAGGAGCACCAGAACCTCGGTAGCACAGATATCCGTGACAATAAGCACTGGGTTATGCTGTATTTTATCCTGACTGGTACTATCAGATCTCTGCTGATAGGTATGAGCAGATACACACCACTAGAGCCCGTAGTCACACACATCTTTCTGAACATGCGTTACGCAGTTTGTCACATAATGCCTCTCTTCAATACAGATATTTGTTTCTCATATTTCTCACTTACATGCAGTCAAGAGCACTGAGAAAAACGCTCTGGGCAAGCAACAAACGAACAGGTGGGCTGCTTTTATATTTACATTTCAAACAGATCTACCCACTGGACAAACCCTGTGTTTGGCTGCTGAAAGGGACCACAGCAGCTCTGCAAAGGCGCTGCGGCTTGTTTGCCAGGTTTGTTTTGAAGAGGCAGCCAACGCCAGTCCCTGCGGCTCAAAAACCGTTCACAACAGAGTGACACACGAGCCTGCAGCCACCTGAGGTGCTCCTCAGCAGCCGGCCCCGGGGGAATTTGAGCCAAACAACAGCCTGCATTCACTCGCCGGCACTATTGATCAACCCAGCTACTTCAATAAATTAAGCCCTTTCTTAATTGTATCGCCCCTTTTTTATGCGCAGTGTTATCCAGCGCAGCTTCGCTGGCAAACGATGAGATCTTTCAATACCACCCTCCAAGTAATTTATATGTAAATAATAAAAAGCGGGTCCCAACACTGCTCCCTGTAGCACTCACCAATTAATCTCCTTTTAGCTTTTTTACTGCCACCCTTTGTTTCCTGCCCTTTAGCCAATTTCCAGTAGACTGTGCCAACTTTCCACTTACTCTGTAGCTTCATATCTTTTATATTAATAACCTGTGATGCAGAACAGTTTCTCAAATGTTTTCTGAGAAATCAAAGTGCTCATGCAAGACCATCTACTGCATTTATTATTATTTTTTAAATTCTCTGGTAGACATAACCCTGAAGGCCTTCAAGCCACTAAAGTGTGATGTTTACTTCTTGAAACCACCTTGACTCCCTTTGATCATACTGTAGTTCTCAGCTATTTGCCTTGCTTATTCCTTTCAATGGTGTAATTCCTACAGATTTTTCCAGAAGGCAGATGTGAATCTGAAACAGTCTCCTTCGACATATTTGTGGAGTTGTCAGAAAGTTTTTACTAACATAACGGATTGAGAAAAATTCTCCTTCATTACCTTCATGTCATTTGCTGTGGTCATTGGCTTAGGTTTCCTCCCTGGCAAGGGCCAAATGCTGCTGTCAGAGCCACACCTCACCCCACCAAACAGCTGAGCTACCCTTTGAAAATTTCAGGATGAAATTCTGCTTTTCAGCTGCAACAAGGTGGCTCTTGCTGAGCTT